TATTCTCCTCTATTAATGAGGAGAAGTATGCTGCTCTTGCTTTACAAAGGGTCCTCTTATACAGCAGTAAACTGAGGAGATAAAGCTTCTTTAGATCTTAATTTACCGTAATTCAGTAAAAGGGTCGAGTCACATAAAAAAAAAAATATAACGAGGTCACTCCAGTGGTTGTAAGTTGGAGGGGATATTGCTGGGATTTCGAGGTAAGTGGGCTGCCATTCGGCTGGGAAGGACCATTTTGAATGGCTGCTACTGTAAAATATGCAATTTTTTTTTTCTGTAAACCCTGGCTTTGTTCTCCCCCTCACCCAAATAAAAATATATTTCTTTCACCCAGATCTTGAGCGGAGTGATCCTGGAGGTACTGTCAGAAGACTTCCCAGATTTCTTCACAGCGGAAGTGCAGATGGTTTGGACCAAACTGATGGGGGCGCTGTACTGGCACGTGACGGGGGCCTACACTGACGTGGGCTGGCTCCAGGTCTCCAGCTCTGCAGTGTGAAAAATCAGGAAAGAAGATGTTTGAAGTATTTGTTGGAGAAATAAATAGAGTCATGTGTGAAAGATTGGGAGCTTGGTTTCACAGACATGGATGAGATTAATGCAGTAATCTGTGCAACATTCTTCCACACTTTGGTTGTATCTTGGTGCTGAGCTTTTGCTGCTAAAGCTGTAGAGGTCAGTCGGGCACCAAGCGATGTAACTAGACATCACCTCACTCTTCTTGGCTTCTGTAAGTGGTGTTTTGGTTCAAGTGTTTTAGCGGAAAAAAAAAAAAAAGGCTGCTGTTTTAAGTATTTTCCTTCCAGCTCTTCTACAGGTAATTCCAGTCACTCCAGAATCACATAAACCATCACTCTATGTCTAGCATGAGTGCTTTCCTATTAAAGAAGCGCCACAGTCTTACAGTACCTGCATCTCAAGGTCTGATAAGGTTAAACTGCATTTTTGGCTCAAAGAAGGTTAAAATGCAAAGCAAAGAGTTTATGATGATTTTCTAGCATTGTGAGAAATCAGTTAGACACATTATAGCAAACTTTAATTTTGTCTTGTTTTTTTGGTGACATGTAACCTTCAACAAAACTTGATTTCTTGTTTTTTATTTCTTTATTCTTAGTAGCAATGCAAGAAGTAGCTATGGTGATGATACATTATTAAATTAATCAACACATCCAGTTAAATCCACACATTTTGTATGTTAGAAAAAGTGACTCATAGACTTGTTTGATGCTGTTCAGAGGAGTCCTCCCTCTACATTTACCCTGTTATCTAATGTATAAAGTAATACATGTAGCAGCTGTAAAAAGGGGGTTCCTGTGAGCAGTTTTACACGCAACACGTGTTTTTTCACTGATTTAATCAGTCTAATCACATCTCATAAACATACTGCGTTTCTATTAAAAAAAAGAAAGACATAAAACCAAACCTTTATTTACGATCGCAGCATACCAAATGGGAACAATGTTAGCGAATGTGCACATGTTTTACATATTTTAAATGTGGAAATGCTGTTTGCATTGGAAGCCGTGAGTAACAAAGTTTTTAAAATCTGGAATCAGCTTCAGAGTAAAAAAGACAAGCTAAAACACCACACCTTTTTTTTTCTGTATAGATAACCAGTCTGCAACTTCTGAAAACTTCAGATCTGTCTCTTGACTCCAGGTACATCAGGCTTAGAAATACGCACCATAAATCTGCTATAATTTAGCATCAAAGCGCTACATCATGGCCTAGCATAATGACTATTGTATTACAACGGTATACGAAATTTCCATGTGGATTAGAAATAAATGCAGTGTTTATAAGGACCTTTTCAGAAACTACAGGATATTTCTTAAAAAAAAACACATCATCTTTTCGAAACTGCCTAAAGTAAAACGTATAATTCAATTCAATTCAATTTATTTATAAAGCGCCAATTAACAACACGTCAACTCAAATCAGTTTGACTACAGTCATATTGATTAAAAGTTTTCTATCTAAGGAAAACCAGTTGATTGC